GCAAAGAACAGTACAGCACACTGCAGGATACTTCAGTGAGAATTAAAAAGACATCAAATATCGATGTCAAATAAAATTGGGTATATACAGGTATCTAGTTTTGTTCTGAATGTTATCCATTACCGTCGCTAGTACAATGATAAGGCTAAAGGTTGCTTTGATGAAAGAAATGGTCAACCAGAGCTTTAATGGTCTGAATTTTACAGGGTTTTTTTTCTTATATCAGCCGTTGGTATACAGTATTCAGTGAAGAGCTATGTCGCAAGCTATTAAAGCAAACTTAATACATTTTACCAAACAAATATTAAGTAGCCTACTCTGACAAAATTGTCATTTTTTTTTTCTTAATCTGCATGGGTATGTTTGTTGTATTTGTATTACCTTCTATCAGACAGTGATTCTCAGCGTGACACTATTATGACTCGTATGCTCCCTCTACTGGTATGCCACAGAATCACTGCCAGAGTACAATTCAGACGTATTTAACTTTTTAGTTTAGAACATTTGAATTCAACCTTTGTTTTTAAACTTTCATTTAGGTCATGTTAATATTCAGTTTTTATGTCTCAACTCAACTGTATTTATAGAGCACTTTCAAACAGCCATCGCTGCATACAAAGTGCTGTACATGGAGCAAATTAACATATACAACAAACAGTAAAGCAAATCGGTAATAAAAACAGTAGAAAGCACCGAACAGCAAAACCTGAATCGTTACGACAGTGTTCTTTTTTTCTGATATTTAAGTGCAGTGTTAATGTACATAATGTGCGCAATGGTACAGTGGCTTACAATGTTATTAAAAACCAATCAGGAATAATTTTTTTTCTGATATTTAAGTGCAGTGTTAATGCACATAATGTCCGCAATGTTACAGTGGCTTACAATGATATTAAATACCAATCAGGAATAAAATTATTATTTTTTTCTCAATTAAGTCAACACAAGTGAAGAGACATTGTAGCAGTGAGAAACCAGCATATCAGGAAATAAGCAATCAAAGGAAAGCTATTTCCCTCATCAAATTAAGGAGAACAGAGCGCCAGAGCAAAATCTATTTACTTCTTGAATATTCATGGCAAAATGGACTGACCCCAAAAATAGCTTGGAGAAAGGGCATCCCGCTCAGTTCCAATGCAAATAATTTTGCAATTACTACTAAGTATTTCAATGACAGCAAGACTTGAACTTTATTTTCCATTTAAAAGGATTTTTGAAAAAAAGCTAAAGCAACTTAAATTCCTTTGGGACCTGTCGTCCGTAAAACAGTACATAAAAACCCTGAAGTGTTCCGTGAGTTGGATCAAGGTACAGTAGCTGAGTGGTTCAAGGAGAAAGTTCCCCTCACTTACTTATCACGCCTTTGCTTTGTTGTCTCATGTTACAATTCCATTGATCTGGTTCCTCTTTACTCAAGCATGCTACACATGTACTGCACACATTTCTAATTTGGGTCTCTTTCTACAAAGGCAGACACAAATGCAAACAAAAAAGCGGCGTTTGGAAGCTTCTGGTCCTCGTGCGCATGGACACACAGGTACAAAGGCACTGGGTCGCTGCATTGTTAATGAAAAAATGCAAAACGAACAAATCCCTGAGCTGACAGAGGCACGCACAAAATAAAGACTCTTGCTTTTTTTTCTTAGGATGAAGTTATGTGATACAAGCACGTCTGGATGTATTCACAAAGAAAATCTTTTCATGTCATCATGGGAAATTAGAAGTAGGCCGAGTGAGTGGCCGTGCTCATTTCACACACTGTCAGTGTAAATCTCAGCCAAGGACTTTTTAGCTTCAAAGATATTTCAATGATACACATTTAACAAAGATTATTGACAGAGGCCGGCGAATACTGTATATTATCCATGTAATTGATTTACCACCCGACTTTTATCTCCGAGGTCATTGTTATGCTTGTCCTGAATAAGTTTAGTTTTCACTTTTAGAAAATCAATTGGTAATCCCAAATGAAATTGTAAAAGCCTCATAAATGTACCATGTGTAACGATAAATGTTAAATCATACATACGGCTTGCATCGGACAACTTGCCAAGCATTTTCAGGAAGGCAAAGTTGAAGTTTGGAGAATCCAGAAAAAGGTAAAACACATTCCTGTCTAATACATTCCGGACAGGTGGAAATGGATTGCTTCTTAAAGCAAAATAAATGAAATGGTACCAGTCATAGATTCAAAGTTGAACATGTTCTATTTTTGCATACACAGCGCGCCATTTTTTTAATTTTGATTTTTGAAATGATAACATTAGAACTGTGGTATCAGAGAACAGGTAAGTGTAAAAGCTTTTTTTCTAAAACACAAATACAGTCAAACCTCGGTTTTCGTCCATAATCCGTGCCAGAAGGCTGTTCGAAAACCGAAATTGTTGGAAAACCGAAACCACGCGCTTTTTAAAAAAAAAATGTTTATTGAACACGTCTGCTCACAATGGAAAGCGACACGAGGAAGCGTCACTTCCTCGTCTACCGGAGGAAGCGTCATTTCCTCGTGTAAGGAAGGCGAGAGGAGTCAAGTGGTGGATTCAAGTGCGCTCAGTTTGTTCGAGAACTGAAATTTGTTCGTCATCCGAGGCATAAAAAACTCGAAATTTTTGGTGGAGAACCAAATTGGTCGAGAACCAAGACGTTCGAAAACCGAGGTTTGACTGTATTAGATTTTTTTTTTTTTTTTTGTGTGTGTAAATTTTACACCGACTTTCTGGCAGCCTGGTCACTTCAGTGGTTGGCGAGCCCTGCTGTACAGTATGCCATTTTATACTGGCTTCTCAACGTGAGGGAAGGATCTAGCACTGTGAGAGAAGTCAGCTTGACGTCACAAAGTGTAGCGTATTTTCCGCCCTATCACTGATAGGTAAAAACCGGTATTAGTACATATTACAGCGAATGAGCAATTTTAAAATTGCCCAAAAACTGCTGAGTACAGGTAATTGATTGTACATCAAAGTAAGCAGCGGATCTTGAGAGGAATAATTTTACCATACCATATGGGAAAGGGCCGTGCACCTCATTGGAGACAAAATAGTCAAAAGTGTGCAGTTGCTATGTTTTTTATGACATGCTGATTGAGACAAACATATCATGATTAGACAAAATGAACACTCGCCCGATAGAGAAACCGTCTTTAAATCGACTTTTGAGGATTACCCTGAGATGGAAAATGAATTTTGGACACTCTTTTCACTCTACACTCTGAAGTGGGGTACAAATGTGAACAGTTTTGCTCCCTTACGTTCAAAGTCAGCAGAGACCCAATTCACTGACATCTCTGAAATATTATCCTGCGCGATAATCCTGTTGTGTGGGGTGTGTTAAGAGGAAATTTTCTCCTTGCTGATCTGGAGTGAAACCAGTGGCGAAGAGGAAGACCAAAGAGATTTCTTGATGTTGGTAGGAAAGACTTACAGATAACTGCAGACAATGCAGAGAAAAGTGAGAGATAGAAGAGGAAAAAATCACTGTGATGACTCCTGAATAGGGTGAAGAGGAAAGAAAATAATGAGTTTAAAGTCTATTTTTTAACACAGTGGTATTTTGGCTTGAGTAACAGTGCCCAAAATTATGAGTGTTGCAAGTCACTAGCAGCCACTTGGTTGATTTAAATGATTATTTTTTGCTTTGGGTATAGAGCCAAAATGTAATTACGAGCGAGCATCAGACACACACACACACACACACACACACACACACACAAAAAGAAAATGGAGATTGACAGTTGTGATGCACTGTCAGCCGTATATTGTTGTTTACAAACACTCAAACACCAACATATAAAATAGATGCACTCACAAGTACATAGAGGGCTTCTTTGGAATGTAAACATTTACTTAACCAAGAAAAGATGAAAAGCAGTATCCTTCCTTTCATTGCAAAGGACAGCAGTTTTAAATGAAATTAACTACACGATTCCTAACCGACCCACGACCCTCGTGAGGATAAAGTCGTCCGGCAAATGGATGGATATTTCTAAGCAGCTTCATCACACTATAGGCATGAATGTCTGGCGTGAAACAATGATTTTTCCAAAAAAGGACTTAGTCATTCAATCAACTGTATGCATGCTTGTCGTTTGAGAGGTCAAATTTAAAGATTACAAATTAAAAGAGGAAGATAGCGCTGTTAAGCATGTTATACAGATGGCTTTTAGGGAACATGTAGTCGTTCCCTATACCTACCTCGGCTCCAAATGCTTCTCTTTGCTCTTGATTGTCCTTGAACAGACGCACACCGCTTCACATAGGCAATCAGTCACAGGCCATCTCACTGTAACAATGGAGAAAGTTACCTCAATTTTAACCCGGTTTTTGAAGCTTTTAGAATGTAACTTCCTTAACATATTTACAAAATCTAAAGACAGTTTTGTCCCTTTCTGGTGATATTGGTCTTGCTGGGGGGAAAAATTGTTGTCACGTCCCTGTAATAAAACGGAAGCCATCGTCGTACTGTATACAGTGTTGTTGCTTAAAAATGCCGATATTATTCAAGTTAGATTCCATGTCCAAAACAAAATAGAATTTCATTAAATTCCATCATAGTAGGGAATCACCATGACCGTCAATTGGCTGGTTCTTATCAGCTAATTGTACGGTAAAAGTAGGCAGTTACTTTGACTGTAATACCGAAGCCACAAGGCGTGTCATGGCGCAGGTTCAAGCGAGACAAGCATCCCAACCTGCTGTCGCTGCCGCCGACATTTGGACACTCGAAGCCGCCTGCCCGAGTGAGTGAGGAGGGGCCGGCCAATCTGAAGCTCACCAGTCGCCACCACCGGAGTCAGGTAACCACCGCCGACTGGCTTCCTTCTTCCTCCTCTTCTCACTCGCGAAAAGACTAGCGTGTGTGTGTGCCTGTCTGCCGGCGGCGGGGGTTTTTTTTTTTTTTTGTCCTTTTTTCCCATGT